AGACATATATACAAAATTATGTACAGGGTCTACCGGGACAGGAAGAGTATAGTGGAAAAAAGGGAGTTTGGAAACTGAAGAAGGATGTTAGGAGAAAAAAATGAACAGCACAGTCGGTCCATATGTAGTGAAGAACAAGATGGACCCACATACTGAGTTGTGAAGGAACAAAGATTTGGAGGGATAAGATTCTGGACATGAGATTCATTGATACTGATGAAGAAGTTGGTCAAGAAAAGGATGCAAAAATAAATGAGCAAAAATGCAGATATATATGATGAAACGGGGAGCCTGGATAGTGTAGTCAGTGTAGCGACTAGCTACAGGCTGGATGAGTGAGGGGTCAGAGTTTGAGTCCCAGTAGGATCAAGAATTTTCTCTTCTCCATGTTGTCCAGACTGGCTTTGGAGTCCACTCAACCTCCTATCCAATGGGTACTGGGGGCTCTGTCCCCGCAAGTAAAGTGGCAGGGGTGTGAAGCTGACCACTCGTCTCCAGCTAGGGCTGAGGTCAAGAAAATGTGGATCTATACATCCACTCCCCCATACACCTCCATGGCATAGTGCTTAATTAGTTAAGCACATGGACAACTTTATCTTTTTTTTTACCTTTATATATTATGAAACATAGAAAGAAATGGAAGAGGACTGTAAGCAAACATGACACTGACGTAGAAATAAACTCTGATAACCAGTGATTAGTAGGATTAGCAGAATATGTCTAATAAAAATGTTAATGCAAATTTTTGTATGAGAGAAATAGTAATTTCAGTGGGACAGAGGAGCATAGGGACAAGGATTCACACTCTGTCACCCGAAGTTTAAACTGCAATGGACATCATAAAGTACAACATCCATTCACACAGAACAGATGGGCTAGTGAACTAACCAGCTATGTGATATGTTTTCCATCGTATCTAAAGAGATTATGGGGCTCCCCCAGCCTTCTGTCAAATGGGAACAGGGGGCTCTTCCCCAGAGAGAAAAGCAGCTTAAGCATAAAGTTAACCATTTATTTTCATTTAATGTTAATTTTATTGTGTAGAGCTGTAACTCCTCTTCCCCATACACCTTCATAGCATGATGCTTGAGATGAGATGTAACTTTACCTTTACAGTATGTAAAAGGGGTTACTGGACAGCATTCAGGGTTACATGCCTATAAGAGCAAAGTGTATACTCGCAGACTTGCACCTGTGCCCACTACCAGACACTACCACAACAGCTGGAAACCTCTGGACGAGTTAGCTCTTAATGCTAGAAAACTGTAAGAATATTATCAGTACTCTAGTGACTGAATATGGCCTCATAACCTTATGGACACTTAACTCTCATACTGAATTTAGACCAAAGCATTTCAGTATATGCAACCTGAAAGTTACTTGTAAATTTAAATCAGTGCTTGCTATAAACAACTTTTTACTTCCTAGGACACAAAACCAGGAATTCTCAAATTCAAACCAAAATTATAATACAGTACTAAAGATTAAGAACTGTTACACCAACTATAGAATGGTTAGATTAACTGTCCAGTGTGACTCAAAAGTATGTTTATATATATATGAGGATTGGACCTTTAATAGTGGCAACACTGCTGTAGAAACACCATGCAACGGAACCAAATAATGTTGGCTATACCACACGTTAGTTACATACCTACCTTACCTCAGAGCAAATCGACTCTCCCTTCCCACATCACGCGCATGCGCAGTGATGAGAAGAACAGAGCCTCGTGTTAGCTGGCGGTCTAATGTAATGTTGTCACGGTGTTTTCGAAACAGGAACAACGGAGTTGGTTAAAGATTGAATGTTCCAGAGGCCGTAGCGCATGACAATGTCATCAAGGTCTTCAAGAGGCTTGCGGGGAATCTGCATTGCCTTACAGAACAGTGGCAAGGTGGGTAAAAGTCTTCAACGAGGGACCCCAAAATGTGGCACACATGTGTCAGCCAGTTTGTTCTAGTGTCAGTGAAGAAGAAGCGTGTGCTCTTTCCGCGTTACTGGAGAGTGATCGACGCCATACAATTCATGAGCTGGTCCAAGAGACAGGATTAGCGCATATGACTGTGCTTCACATTCTGAAGGAACACCTGGGCATGAGAAAAAATGCATCGCGATGGCTTCTGTGTGATTTGATGGAAATGCAGAAATGGCAAGCTGTGGCTGATTTGTTTGATCAAAGGGGCTGGGAAGTGCTGTACCATCCACCATACTCCCCAGACTTAAGCCCTTGAGACTTCGACTTGATTCCTAAGATGAAGGAACCACTTCATGGCATTTGCTTCAGAACTGTTCCAGAGATTCTTCAGGCAGTAGACCGCTCCATTTGAAATATCAACACAACAGGCGCTGCTGAAGGTATCCTACGACTTCCACATCGCTGGCAATGGGTTGTACACAATGCTGGTGACTACACTGAAGGGCAGTAAAACTTCGAAACATGCATCTATTTTGTATCACTTGTAAATAAATAGTTTCCACTATTAAAGTTCCAACCCTCATATATGTATGATGCCTTCACATGTTTCAGTCAATTAATGACCATCTTCAGAAGGCAAATAGCAACACTTGAGGAAACTACCATTACATAAATATAGTTCATTAAGTCCAAAGTTGTCCAAAGTTTTACATACAAAGATTTTAAATTAAGCTAAAATGTGGTGAGTTAATATATTAATAAACCTCTTAATATTTAAAATCTTAAACCACTGGGGTTCATGTCTTCTTCCGCTTCTATCGTCAGGAGATTGGGTAGATTGCCACCCTTGGAGGTCTGGGCAGTGTTTTTTTTTTTTTCTATATATAATTGGTTAAGAGTCTGTGTTTGTTGTTGAGCTGTTTCTCCTTTCATTGTTTGTTGTTTTCTGATGATGGTCATTAATTGACCGAAACATGTAAACTTATCATAAATATATACATGAACTTTTGAGTCACACTGGACGGTGTAATCAAATAACGCTATAGTATGGACTAGTGTGATGGACCAGAATGAATAAGCTTGTTACACCTACGTAGGGCAGTGAAAAAGTTCCAGGAATTCCCCTGCAGATGGAGAACAAGCGATAAGATAGCGCACACACTGTTGTGGTGGGGAGCTCAGCATGTCTGCTCACAGCTGCAACAGGTCTGGGCAGGTTTCAGTGTGCAGTGTCGTTACTGTTCTGTTTGAATTAGACGTGAGTGTTGGTCATTCAGCACAATGTCACAGTTCAAACAGCTTGCAAACATCATGTTCACGTGAAAATTTGGAAAATCTGCTTCAGGACATAATTGGCCCTGCAGCAAGTTTATGGTGATACAGCACTAAAGAAATCCATAGTTAACGACTGGTTTTCCCGGTTTAAGAATGGGCAGGAGATATTTGAGGATGACCAGCACAGCGGGAGACCTTCGACATCCAGAACCAAAGAAATGATTGGAAAAGTGCAACAACTGATTCGATTTGATTGAAGAATGACCATCACGGAGTTGGAGCAAGAAGTTGGTATCTCTCACGGATCCATTCATGCCATTTTGTCCGATAATTTGAAGATGAGATGCGTCAGGGCGAAGTTTGTTCTGAGGCAGCTGACCACAGATCAGATGGAATGTCACATGATGGTCGCTGGCGATCTGTTTGACAAAAGTACGCAGGACCCGATGTTTCTCAAAAAGATTCTCATTGGTGTTTGCCTACAACCTGGAGATGAAGATGCAGTCATCGGAGTGGCACACAGCGTCGTCTCCCCGGCCAAAAAAATCATTCCTCATCTGATCCAAAGACAAAGTGATGCTCATTGCATTCTTTGACATCGACGGTTTGGTGCACCATGAGTTTGTACCGCCTGGACAGACTGTTACTGGCCATTTCTAAGTGCAAGTTTTGCAGAGGTTGCGCTATGCAGTTTGGAGGAAGCGGCGTGACAAGTGGCAGGGACAGTGGTTTCTGCATCACACTAACAGGCTGAGCCACCCATCGCTTGTTTGCTGTCATCACCCAACCACCGCACTCTATGACCTCGCTCCGAGTGACTTTTGGCTGTTCCCTACTCTGAAAATGGGCCTCAAGGGGACACGTTTTGCAACCATGGAGGAAATCAAATAAAATGTGACGGCTGAGCTCCGGAAGATTCCAAAAGAAGCCTTCCACTGCTGCTTCCAACAATGGCAGGATCGATGGAGCAAGTGTGTGCACGCGCAATGGTCCTACTTTGAAGGTGATTAGGTAAGCGTTGCCGTATGTCCTATCATTAGAGTGCTATACCACCATTCCAGGAACTTTTTGACTGCCCCTCGTATATCATAACACATTTTATAGCATAAACACAACGATAAATATTTTGATCCTATACAGACGCAGTAATTTAATACAACTGTTAAAATCTGTTCTCGCATTGATATTAAATCAATATGTTCTTCAGGTATTTACACTTAATTCTGAAGTGGAATGCCTGCCAAAAAATTTAAAGGAGAAATTCAATGATCCAGTATCTCTCTATGCTTTTTATGGATATGTCTTCCACTGATCTACTCCTACACATTACAGCCATTAAGAGGTGGTTTGTATTCACAGTTTTACTGAACATGCTCACTACGAATTTGAGAAGTTCTGGAAAACAATTTGATAGAATAATCAAAATAATAATAGTAATTTGCAAGTACCTCTTTTCAGCAAAGGTCAACACTACAACACCGACTGCAATACTGTAGTTGAGCACTGCTATCCTACGGTCCTCACATAACTAACTGAACTATTTCAAATTTGGTTTAAAAGGAAAAGGTAAAAACATGCTGACAAACATTAAGGCAAACACTGCTCAGGCTACACACTATGAGGCTGAAATTTAATTTCATACCTCAAAAATAAGCATCATATGCAGAAACGTTCATATACGTATATGGTCACAACTGCTGCTTCAGTTGCAATGCATGAAATTACAATTTACTGTACTCTCATCAAAGGTTTCCAGCTGTTGCTGTATCACTTGGTGGAGGCTCATACCCATCACTGTCAGGCTTCTACCTGTGGGGCTGGGTAGATGGAAAAGGTGAGTTTGCTTTTCTTGGGAAAATCCACCGAGAGCCTCTCCATTAGGAGGGATGCGAACCCAGAACCAGTCCCACCACCAAATGAATGGAAGATAAGAAAACCTTGGAGTCCATTACACTGATCTGACATCTTGCGAATGCGATCAAGCGTCAGGTCTATGCACTCCTTTCCTGCAACAGAAACCAAAGACAAAAACTCACTCTTCCTCCTATTTCAGAAAATATTACTGCATCCCTGAAGATGGGCTGCCCTGTCTCACAACTCCCATTTCCCTCGGACCAGGTTTAATTTTGTGTGTATGTGTTTCATGTATAACTGATATAAAAAGAAGGTAAATCTATCCCTGTGACAGAACATGCAGGCCCATAGGGCTGTGAGATGTCAAGGCTCCTACATTTTCTGGGCAATCAGCTCACAGATGGCAGTGATGCTGTCAGCCTTATGTGCCAGATGGCCACCGTTTACCCCCAGGAAGATTCTTGGTTCTCATTTCCGTTGAGGATGGGACAACCCCAAGGCCATAGTGCGGCTGGAAGGATTAGGACAACCGAAAAATATCCAATGACCTCATTGCGAACTGAACCCGTAACCATCCGGATTGTAGCATAGAGAGCCTCGACCAACTATACTACCATGTGCCCTAATCTATAACCAACAGAGAGAATATTTATATTCACCAATGGTGTAATGTCCACGGGCGTAGTTGTTGGCAGCATCTTCCTTCCCTGTGATGAGTTGTTCTGGGTGGAATAAATGTCTATAGGTTCCAGTTCTCACTTCATCTGGAACATATCATGATGCAACCCATGTGAGGTAACGTAACAAAAAAAAAGAATCAGAAAACGAACAACTGTGGCTACTATTTTATTATATATATATAGATGCATCACCAACTTACCAACCACTGTAGGCTCTAGGTCCACAAACACGGCCCTAGGCACATGCTTCCCTGTGCCTGTTTCACTGAAGAATGTGTTGAAACTATCATCTCCGTAACCTATTGTCTTATCTGAGGGCATCTGCCCATCAGGGTGAATTCCATGTTCTAGGCAATACAGCTCCCAGCATGCATTGCCCATCTGCACCCCCGCCTGCCCGATGTGTATGGATATACATTCTCTCTGAAATGAACAATGGGACAAACTGTCTTAAGCAGAATTCCTTTCTTCCTGCAGTTTGGATGAGTTATCTCATGAAGGTGTGTGGTCTGCATGAGATTTCCATCCAAAATATTCTGTCACAATTTTATGGAGTGTGACTATAGGCAAGGTTTGAATTGGTGACTGATTTTATTGAACACTTACAGATTGCAACTACAAGTAACTATAGCACTATCTCTAATTCATGCACTACAGCACGTACTATGTCTTTTCAGTGTGCTGTGTCTTCACCAGTCATTGTCTGGTAATGGTTTCCAAAGCCACAGATCCCTCAATTTCCGTTTTCATGGCTTCACGTCCTTGCTGGCTGTCACCTATCTCATTATAGTTCCCAAGCTGAACTGACAGGCTTCCAAATGCCGAACCCTTCTATGTGCCATTGTGAGAATAACTCACTCACCAACCAACTCAATTCCCTCCACTTGGTCAGCCGAGTGATATGGCCTTGGAGAGGGCTCAACAAAAAACACTGTTCCTCTGTTGATGTGGGTGATATCACATGTTCCAGTGCAGTGGCACTGTCCGCCTGGTGCTGGACTGTGTGGCAACACAGTTTCCCGCACCTTTTCTGTTGTTGCATGATGTCATGAGGACATGACATGTTCCTCTGCTGTGTATGCAATCACTGTCAAGCCGATAAGTTCTGTACTGTGTCCTAACCTAGCAACGACTCTCCACATGTTACAATATCATCAAGCCACAAAGTTCAAGACCTGAGATTTAGATGGCAGTGGTCTTCTGGGTTACAACTGTGTCTGGTACATGTATTCCAGTGTTTTAGAGCAACACACTGTCTCCATCTCTACTTCTAACCTGTTCCTCCAAAACATTTGTAAATATCTACTACATATCTAATCTAATATCTACACATTATCACATCTCAGGAGACAGTAATCTTCCTGAAAGAAAATGTTTAGAAACATAACCCACTTTTTTGTGATTCGTTTTCTAGGATACTTCTTATGTCTGGTTATTTTACCTTTGCAGACTTCTCTGTGGTAACAAGCCCACAAAGCATCACATCACTTCTGTCCATATACATGCCAATAAAGTATATCAAAGTACACAGAGCCATACCATGGATACATTTCTCTTCCTCCTTTTGCTCAGGAGAGAGCTAACAAAGTAGACTTAATTTTCTTTGCACAGATCTTAAGACACAGTCAAGACGTTCCTACCATATTTACCCAAATGGAAGACAACTCTGAATCAAAGATGACCTCCTGCTAAGATGATCAGCTGCGCAAGAGTGAAGAGAATGTGTCAGAGTTCTATCGTTCACGTTGCTGATCATCCGAGAAGACTTCATAGTGTGGCATATTTGCTCAAAGCAAGAACTGTGGAGCCAGAGAAACAGCAGTTGCTAGGTAACTGCTGTGTAACATGCAACAATTGAATAACTGTTGGAAGCGGTGTTTCCTGTGCGGTCTGTTCTGAGGCTATGTACCGAGGGCCAGCTCCCATCTTGAAAGAAGTGTTGAGACGGCAGTTAGAAGAGTAGGAGGTTGCTGTGAGATGGCCACCAGCCTGCAAGGACGTCAGCCCAGGGAATGTCCATTGGTGAAGACACAACAGACTGAGAGGACTTCGTAAGTGCTGTAGTGAACTGAAGAGTGTGTGAATTAATGATAGTATTACAGTTACTTGTAGGTATGATCTGTAAATATTCAATAAGTCTGATTACCAATCCAAACCCTGTCTATAGTCACTTATGAGAAAATAATATAGTTCCTACCAAAGCATAAAATTGTGGACATAGTAACATGTTTCACATTTCTTCCTTCTTACACTCATTGTGTTTACCATTCCAACTTCATCACATACAGCGTTTCTTCATAGAGAATTACAGTTTCTGATTAATATATTTGGCAGTTTATCCAAGGAATAAACTGCTGAAGAACCTTTGGGTACCATAAAATGCTGGGAAGTTCTTGAGTGGCTGTACAATTGGCCGTTTCTCAAGAAGGGCTCAGCTCCGTGAGTGAGTGAGAGAACTTCAGCAGTACTCTGGCCAAACTTGGTGTAGCGCACAACTACTGATCTCAAAACATGTCTCCCCCACTCCTCTCATTATCACGACCGAGTGATATGGCATGAATGGTGGCACATTCTGTGTCTTAAAATATTAACCCACTAAAATTATGCGGGGAAAAAATATCATATTCCATTTAAATAAAAGTGATGTTTTGCAAGTCACTATTTGATTTTAGAATCACAGTGGTTTTATAAATATGACAAACCTCTATATTCTAAAACAAGAAACAGTTCCTTAAATTCATACTGTGGTCTCTGGTTTGTGACACCATGTAGCAACGTCAACAAATATAAATGTTTCAGAGAAACTTGCTTCCTCCAAAACGATGGTGTCCACCAACAATACTACAGTGTCAAAACTTAGAAGAACAGAATCTGAATATTCACCGCTATGAATTCTGCATCTTAAATGCATCTGGTTTTCTTCTAGCAACAAGTGCACATAGGAGCTTTCAAAGAGCACACTCTGGACTGTAATGCTGTACAGTTCACTGACATTTCAGAGGAACATCTCGTCACCTTCAGGATTGAAAAATAAGTCAAGGAACATACAACGGAAAAAAATAGGCAGCAAGCAGTACATTCCTCTGAAACAAATAGTGGACTCCTATCAAATTACATACCATTATGTCCTGAAGATTGTACACTTCATAGCAATTGCTGTGAGAATGTCAACACTTTCCTTCAAAACATAACATAAATGAAAATGCTTCCATGCTGAAGCCAGAGGACTTCCTACAAAAATGTATAGTGCAAAAAGATGAAATACAACACAGACTGTAGCCAGTCACAGTAGCTGAGCAGTCTAAGGCATGAACTGTCTTCACTTGCTTGGGATCATGGGTTCGAATCCCACTCAGGGCATCGATGTTTGGTGCATGTATATGTTTATTCTGCGTCTTTGCAGTCCTGGGCTTAGGTAAAGGCTTTGCAATGAGCTGATCACTTGTCCAGGAAGTCCTACCATCTGTAAAATTGATCCTGCAACTGAAAGAACAGGCCAGGGTCCACAGGGGCTGTAGAGCCAGTGATAGAAAAAAAATACAGACTACAGCTGATGATGCAATATGTTTATTGAAGAAAAACTGAAATGTACAGTAAAACTGCCAACATTATGACAAACATAACCTTAAACAGAGGTAAGATACATGGCTTTTACACAGTCTTTACAGTTTTGTGTAAGCAAATACCAATAACTACACTCAGGTCAGGCAAAGATTGAACAAGAATGGTGTGGACTGGTTAACTTCCTTCTCCCGCACCCCACCTACTCTCTGTCAACACCAACAACAAACAGGACATGCAAAAGACAGGCACAGAATAAAGGTCACAATACAAGTGACAACTGGTGGGAGGGGGGGAAGTACCTACTATGCAGATGTGTGTGCGAGAAACTGTGTTCATTCTTTCTCTGACCCGACTTTAGAATATGGTACAAACACATAAAAGTAATCTGTTTCCAGATTAAACATCACCCGGAAGCTAGCGGATCCAGATACAAGAGCTGTTAACAAAATCCACAGGAACAACACAAGGAATATTAGTGTATTTTAATAGGAGCAACATATATATATAAGCCTTCTGAATTTGTGAAATTTACACTCTCATGGCAGTGAATGTTGGAATCACAGTCTTCTGGGAAGTGACAATGTGCAGACTGGTACACAGGAACAAGCTGTCTCCATCTTCAGGCATAAGATGCATGCAGAGCAGGCTCCTCTGAAATGATCGTACCTGTCTACTAAACTGTAAGGTCTCACATCCCGGGAGACTGATCTTTCTGAATTTAATTTTACAAAGGTGAAGTCACCCCTGGGTTTAATTAAGTACTGCACCATGCAGATGTGATGGGGAGTGGAGGTATAGCTCAACCATTCATGATCTTGGTACTAGATGCAGCTTCACACTCTGGTCACTTTACCCCTGGGAAAAGAGTCCCCTGTAATCACTGGATAGGAGGCTGAGGAGAACTAGTCACAATGCTGTGGAGTAGAGAAAAATCTGTTGTCCCTGCTAGGAACTGAACCCTGGCTGTCCAGACCATAGCCTGTCACTAAACTGACTCAGCTATCCTGGCTTCCCACATAAATTTATATAAAATGTAAATTTTTATTTTATAATAAAAATAAATAAGAATGCCCAGTTTCAAACACAGAGTATATAATGCTTCCACACCAATACAAGCTTCCATGATGGTAGAAAGATTATTTAACTTAAAAAAAAACTCAAGTTAACTATACCAACCAAGCGACCGCCGCTTGTTGGCAAAGTTTAGTGCCAACTTTTGCTGATAGAGGGTGTTGCATGGTCAGTGCAATGAATTCCCATGGCCATTAATTTCGGTTTTCTAGACCAGAGCCGCTATTTCCTTGAAATAGCTCCTCAATTATCATCACGAGGCTGAGTCCACCCCGTTCCTGACCCACTACTTGTCAGAAAAAATCTGGTAGCTCTGGGAATCGAACCCAGACCTCTGGATCTGTAGCCAGGAATACTGACCACTAGCCCACAGAGAATGAAAAATTTTAAAGTATTTTTTAACATATGTTTCCTTAGTAGTATCCTTAATCTGGAAGTGTAGAGAATGTGTTATTAAAACTTCGACAGGCTACAATAACGTTAAGTTTCAGAATGTGGCCCGTATAAATGAAATTATATTTGCCCCATTCTGAACATTCAGTACATGCTTCATGTGCAAGTCACAAAAGCTTTCAAAATAAAAATCATATAATAGTGTTTTATTCTTCCAACAGATTACAAAAGTAACAAAAATAATACTAAGCAATACTGAGTGCAATGCTGATAGCTATTGCTGAAATTAGCTTGTATCAGACAATTACCTCCTGTGGTAATGAACCACCAAATTACTTCAGAAGCCAACAGTTATTTGGCCGGTCAAGAAATTCCCTACCTTTCATGGAAAACAA